AGACTCGCTTGAGCCCAGGAGTTGGAGGTTGCCGTGAGTGTGATGCCATGGCACTCTACCCAGGGGGATAGCTTGAGGCTCCGTCTCAAAAAAAAAAAAAAAAAGAGTCTGCTTTGGCCAAAGTGTCCACTCTTCCACTGCCAGAGACCTGTGCTCAGATCCTGGTGATGGGAATTTTCACGCACACTATGTGGGCTCTACCTAATCTAGCTGCCACTAAACAGGCAAATGGCACAATTAAAATGATGGCTTGATTTTTTTTCAAATGCATGTTAGGAAAAGAAAAAAGAATATTACTTTCTCTAAGATATCAGTTCTGTTTCCACATTCAACATACAAATCCAGCCTTTGAATTATTCATGCTGGATCAATCAAAACTCCTGGTGCTAAAGACGTGCTGAGTCAGGCCTTCCTGCCACACTGGTCTGCCCCTTGGGGCTCCTTTCCCCTTCATTACCACCCCAAATCAAGGCACATTAAATAGGCTTCCAAGGTAATTGGGTGATTTGAGTTCACACTTCTAAAACTTATAAATATCTTTTTCAAGTAGTGCTATACAAGTACTTTGGGAGAGTAATTAAAGACCAAAAGATAGAATGCTAGAAGCCAGAAGAAAAAAACAATCAATGAAAGTGCTCTGCGATGAGCGCAGCTTTTTGACTCCACTGCCTAGGAATTCAAGTGCTACCTCCTCCACTAAATTAAAAGCTTTTTGAGAGCACAGAAGATGGTTTTTATTCTTTACTAGCAAAATGCTAGGCATTCGGGGGACTAAAAGGGACGGGCCTAACTGAACAAAAGAGCCAGAATTTATCAGTGAAACTAAGACGCAGGCATTTTTTTCCCTTTAAATTGGGGTACCTAATCTAGAATCCTGAGGAGCGCTAACAGGACGCTTGATGGGGTGCCCCCCAACATCTGCAGACTTGCTGCTTCAAAGCACCTGCTATTGTTTTATTCAGAGCATCAATACCGGCAACCCTAGCAACAAACACGCAAGGCCTTCATGTCCTTGAAGGAGCCTCCTAGGAATAACTGAAGAACCTTCCGCTGCCCTAGGGTCTGGCCGTCCCTGCAACAAGAATGTAATGAACACCAGTTACACTGAATTTGGGATGTGCCCAGCAGTCTTCTCTGAGTTCAAAGTGCCTAATCTCATTAGCTATCACACACCATGTCTAATCCGATGTTCAGACGCGTGTCTGCTATGTAATTGGGTTCAATGAGGATACCCAACAATACAGCAGGTGATGGTCCCATAGAGTTGTTCAGTGTCCTTGAAGAATCCATTAGCTAACTCCAGGACAGAGGGAAAGAAACAAAACCTTGTACATTTCCAATTATAGTCTGGAAAGCAAGGCAGATTCAAACTTGTGGGCACAATGGTATCACAGTTCAGCAATGGCACTAATGCTCCAGGGAATCCCACACAATAAGCTCTAGGTGCCATCTGTTCATTCGGTCAAGAATCATTTATTAACTAACTACTACTGAGTGCAGAGTGCTTGGTGGGAAACTGAGGCCAATGACGATTTAGTCCCTACCTTGAGGAAGCTCAGAACCTAGATGACTCTAATAAAAGAACATAGATCGACCTATTGCTTCTAAATACATAACTGACATTACTTTCTATTTGGGAAGCCCAAATTACTGACCATATATATATATATATTTTTTTTTTTTTTGAAATAGAGTCTCACTTTCTTGCCCCAGTAGAGCGGCCTGAGGTCATAGCTCACAGCAACCTCAAACCTTGGGCTCAAGCAATCCTCCTGCCTCAGCCTCCAGAGTAGCTGGGACTACAAGCAGCCATCACAACACTTGGCTACTTTTTTTTTTCTCAGCAGAGTCTCACTATGTTGCCCTCAGTAGAGTGCCATGACATCACAGCTCACAACCTCTAACTCTTGGGCTCAAGCAATTCTCTTGCCTCAGCCTCCCAAGTAGCTAGGACTACAGGCGCCAGCCACAATGCCCAGCTATTTTTTTTGCTGTAGTTGTCATTGTTGTTTTTAGCAGGTCCAGCCCAGGTTCAAACCCAACAGCCCCAGTTTGGCGCAGCAACCTCCAACTCCTGGGCTCAAGCGAGTCTCCTGCCTCAGCCTCCCAAGTAGCTGGGACCACAGGTGCCCACTGCGACACCTGGCTATTTTTTGGTTGCAGTTGTCGTTGTTTTGGTGGGCCCAGGCTGGATTTGAACCTGCCACCTTAGGTGTCTGTGGCTGGCGCCTTAGCCACTTGAGCCACAGGCGCTGAGCCATTGAGCTACTTTTAAAGATAGGGTCTTGCTCTCGCTCAGGTTGGTTCTGAACTCCTGAGCTCAGGTGATCCACTGGCCTCAGCCTCTCAGAGTACTAAGATTACAGGCGTGAGCCACTGCACTCAGCAATATTTCTTTATTCATTCATCCAAAAACATAATTCTGGCTCGGCGCCTGTGGCTCAACCGGCTAAGGCGCCAGCCACGTACACCTGAGGTGGCGGGTTCGAATCCCTAGCCCGGACCCGCCAAACAACAATGACGGCTGCAACCAAAAAATAGCCGGGCGTTGTGGCGGGCGCCTGTGGTCCCAGCTACTTGGGAGGCAGAGGCAGGAGACTCGCTTGAGCCCAGGAGTTGGAGGTTGCTGTGAGCGCGATGCCATGGCACTCTACCCAGGGGGATAGCTTGAGGCTCCGTCTCAAAAAAAAAAACAAACAAAAAAAAAAACAAAAACATAATTCTAATTCTACTTCATTCAGTCTTATCCCTTATGCTGCAGAGCAGTCCCTTACAATGCATTATATTCACTCAGGTCTCATCCATCACTGCGACCTCCCCAGGCCTTTATGCTGCCAGGTTGTTTAAGACAGAGAAAAGGGGGAATTTGCGATCGTTGACAGCCTGCTACAAGTCAGCCCTGTGCTAAATAAAAACCAAAGCAATTCATGTAATCCTCCCAACAATTCTTGAAAGTAGGCATTATTATCTCTCTCTACAGAGGGCAGAGACTGGGGCCCAGAGAGAAGTAAATGAGAGAATGGGTCAGTAGCAGAACGCTGGGTTTCCTGACCCAGAGGCTGTGTTCAGCCACAATAGGCTGCTCCGGAAGGATCCTGAGGCTGTAGGTCAAGTAGCATAGTCTGCATCCTGTGACTCCCCACTTGTTTAGCCATTTGCTGGATGTACAGTCTCAGGTATGGTATCCCGCGGCTTTGAGCCTAAGTCTCAAATTTCATCCTCCATAAAAAAGTGAGATAACTCCTACCCGCTGGAATTGCCAGGAGGATTCTGTCATGCCTGACACACAGTAAGCACTAAAAAAAAAAGCCTTAGAGATAATGATGCTGCTGCTGATAGTCCAAGATTAGAAGGAAGAAAATAATCATTTGAATTAGTACCTAACAGGCTGTCTGTTGGCAGCTGCAAATGCTCCCTGACAACTACAACCTTGAGAAAGATAACCCAATACCCCCAGGTGACTCTGGCTTTCAAGGATGCAGAATATTTTTGCTTTGCAGGTGAAAACCTTTTTTTTTTTTAAAGAGATGTTTCCTTTATAAATCCAGTTGGAGCTAGCTTGCTCAAACATGTTTTCAGAGGAAACTGGTAAAGCTCAAGTTTAAGACACTGGGCAGGATGTACTCTTATCTCCTAAAAGCAAGTGCTAGTTTATAGGTACCCTGGGATCCTTGAGAAAAGTAGGTGTTATCCCACTGCAACCCCATTGACCTAAGCATTTGGCTAATCAAGGAAGTGGTTTGGGAGGAAGTAAAGGACCCACATCCAGTTTAAAAGATATATTAGTGCTACAACATTTCAACATAATTATTATTTATTTAGACATCCCACAGGTGCCACAACCATGTAATTCCATGTTCTGTGAGGGCTCAGGAAATGACTGGGCTAATGCAGTTTAAACAAGCTATAACAGTCTCCCATACAGAGTGCCCACCCCCATCTATCTTTTCTTCAGGCATCTTAAACTATTTTTCAGTCATAGCCACACAACACACACTCCCAGTAGGAGGGCAGGGGAGCGCTCTGTGCATCCATTTACAAAAGAGGCCGCTAAAGCCCACAGACAGCGGGCTCCTTGTCTAAAGCTCACACGGGTATTCAGAATTGAATGGAATGATGGCAACAGAATCCACATCTTCCACTCTCGGCTCCAAACTCAGCCTGTTGAGCACTGAAGATGCTCAAATCACCCAAATCCACAGCACCCCAGGCTTTCTGGGTACTAAGACTGAGGTGCCTGTGGATAAGAAGATAGGGCTTAGACACCAGAACTGAGAGACATGACTGAAGGAGTCAGGCATTGAGCAGTGTCAGGGGGCAGATGAAAAAGAAAATGGTAGGAAAGGAAAGGAAGGTGTGAACCAACCCACACGTAGAAAGGAGTTCTTCAGGTTTTCTTTGTGTCCCTGGTGCCCACCTATGAACACTTCTCAGGAATCTAGGAATCTTGCTTGAGGGGTTTGAAGGTGAGAAGATGGTTGTCATGCACCTTTTCCTTAAGATACATTCCATACCTCCTCCCCTGGGGCCAGTACAGGTTCCTTCCCCCCTTCCCTGTCTATACACTACTCCTCATTCTCCTTGGTTTCAGGTTGTTTAATCAGCACAACCTGCAGTGGATCCCAGATATTGGAGCAAAGTTGGTAATCAATCTTGAGAATTACACATTTGAAATCGTCTGAACCTAAAAGTTAGACTTCAGTTCCATGAAGAGCAAAAGCAATACATGAGTGCACTACCAACAGCTGCCTCTGTAAGAAGTTTGAGCATTCCATTTCATTTTGTTTTCTTTTTTTTAATTGGCATGTTCTTATCTATTATTTATTTAGACATTAATTATTCCTTGGGCCTCCATAAATGATGCTGCACAGATCACCTGCTATTGTAGGTGCAATTTATTAACAAGCTACCTCCCCCTCACTCTGTCACCCTGACACCAACCCCTAGCCCCTCCTCTGAACACCTAGGAGATAACACAGGTCCTGAGAGACCAGACGCACCTCTGTCCAAACATCAGTGTGGACTTGGTCTCAGCCTCATTGAAGACAGAAGGAGAACAGCAAATGACAATGGTGGTTCTGCAGTTTCCACCCAGAGAATCTTGGAGAATCCGAGTCATCTTGCTGTCCCGGTATGGCACATGTGTTTTCTATTAGGAAAAGAAAATTGTTTTTGACAGCCCACTCAAAGTAAAGACACAAAGGCAAGCAAGTCAGGGTGGAGACTTTGAGCTTAGAAACATGAGTAAAACAAGAATTGTGGCCAGGTCTTGGAGTCTTGCCAAAGTTTAGGATGTCCATTCCCCAAGGTGGGTCATGGAAATTAGCATCATCAATCACTTTTCTTAATGTACTGGATCTCCCAGCAAGTGGCCATCCACAGCCAGGATCCTTCTATACTTTTAAAAACAGAAAAATAAGGAAATCTCTAAGGGGTGTGAGGAATGGACCATGAAGACCCAAGAGGCAGCTTCTCCTAATATGATTTAATAGACAGAGGCAGGATCACTTACTGTCCCTTCTGCTAAGGCAGAGATCACATTTCCAAGAGCAGACAAAGACTTATTGATATTTTTAGCTTCATCGAGAACAGCTCCCTCGGCACCAGTTTTGCTGACCTACCAGAGAGAAGAGAAAGCAGTGAGCTGCATAGGACACCAGAAGCACCAAGGAGGAAATTCAAATTCACACAAGACAGAAGGGGAGAGCCTTCCAGAAAGCAAGGAAAAATAAAAGTAGCTAAGAACCACATTGATGAAATCGTCCCTTGTGCGAGAGGCTGGGGATTCAGTCTCTCCTGCTATCATTTTCCTCTCAATTAGGTTTTAGTGAAATGGCTGAGATGCCTCCTGGGCTGGAGTTGCCGATGCCTCCCCAGGGGACATTGCTGCAGGGAAACCAGGCTCCAGGAGTGCTGTCCATGTAGGGAGGCTCAGGACCTGGGAGACTGAGCCACCGTCTCCACACCAGAGGGAGCTCACAGGGAAACCTTAAAGGAAAATGCTGTCCTGAGCCGTGGTGATGAGCACCCTGGGAACGTGTACGCTTTGAGCTCCAAGTTCAGGCAAATCACTGCAGGTGGAGGAGTTAGTGTTCCAGACTCCATTCCGTCCCTACTTACTCCCACACCAAGGAAAAAAGGAACGCTCTCCAAAAAGTGAAAAACTTGGAGAGACGCAAAACGTCAAGTACATATTACAATGTAAATTTGTCTGTTTTCCCCTGCAGCCAGAGAGACCATGTACAGTTCCTCCTCTGCTGTGTTATTGCTGGTAATTCCATATTTCCAGCATTAGCTATAGATAGAGGGCAGCTTCCAGATGCTAGGAAAAAAGGGAACTCGACATGATTCACGTCTCCGCTGGCTGGACAAGCGATGTGGGGTAAGCAGCTGCTCTCTGAAGAAAGGAAAGGGAGGAAATAATTTTAAACTGTGCAAAGATAGATTTCAATCACACATAAAGGAGAAACTCCTGACGACAGAGATGAATGCATGTCGGGGGTGGGGGAGTTTTTTCAAATAGGATAGATACTTATCTCTCAGAATTCTGTGTGCAGTACCTCTGCTTACAGACAGAAAACATGAAGGCAGTGGGTCACAAATAATAGCAGTCTATTCACACTGTGCGTCTTTAAAAAGTGCTTTCAATTTGAGCACCTTAACTCCATGAAACACACCAGGCAGGTACCATCTATCACCTTCCTTTTACAGACAAGAAAACTAAGCCTCAGAGATGTCAAATTGGCAGCCTAAAGGAAGAATGCCATTGAGGGGAGATAAGAACCGAAGCCCAGAGTTCTCTTCTACAAGATCATACTGACACATTCACGTGGCTACTTCTAGGGCAAAGGAAAACAGATGTGAACAGAAAAAACTATGCGAAGGACACAACTTTAAACACCTAATGTATCATTAGCAGTAACCACCAACACTGTGCAAAGATAAGCCTCCACCTCTATCTGCCGGCATTAAGTGGTTTTCATGTTTACTCAGGCTCCAGAAATTCATTTCAATGCTGGGCAAGATTGAAGGGGCCACTCTGGCTCTCTGCACAGAGCGTGCATGGCACAGTGCTAGCTGATCCTTGCTATTAATGGTCACTCCAGAACCAAACAACACCACTCCACTATTTTCATTCTGTTGGGTGTTTCACTAAAGTTACAAGCCCATAACAATAAAATTTTACACTCCAGACCAGGAACATCCGGATGATTTTCTGCTCATGGTTTTACAAATGCATGTGAGAGGACAACTCAAGTAACTATCACTTGTGTAGACATTGGTGGCCAGAACTTGGTGTGCAGGAACTCAGTGGTATGGTGCTGCTAAGTGTGGATCAATTACACAGCTAAGGGGGCTGACCAAGCTTCAGAGCAGGCCCTGATGGGGACAATCTGCACAATGTCAGTGATGATGGAAGCCAGAGGGTATTATGCACAAGGACTTGCTCTGTGCTGCTACGCAGAAGGGTCAGTGCCTTGGGCAACATCATAGAGCAAGGTGCATGGGGTATGACAGCAGAAAATTCCACTGGTGCTAAGGAAGTGAGGCTGGTAGGGGCAGGCTGGAGGTTCTGGGAAGATGGCCTCAGCCAGTGTCTACAGGAGCATGGGAGTGGAGACAGATGCCTAAAGAGAGTCCTGACAAAACCAGGGCAGGATCAGGGTTTGTGGTTAAAAGATCTAATGACCTAAAGGAACCAAGGCCACCCACATGGGACATGGTCAGGCCATGCCTATCGCCAGAACAACCAGGGGATGCAGGGAGAACCTTGGATTCCAGACCTTCTATCAGCAAAGTAATATACAGGCGCAGGACTGCCACATTCCAATGGCAGCGCTCTTTCCCAGCCTAGCTGAATCTGGTACAGCGGGATTTTCCCTTTTCTGAGAATTTCCTGCCCCTCCTACGTGTGCATATCTGCCTTTGCCCACCTAAGTCAGACCAGCACTCGCCTAATTTCACCATCAGGACCTACGAGGGATAAATCAGAGTTAGCATTCGAACCACCTGCCTGAAACACAAATAGGAAACTTCAGGCCTGGAAAAGCAAGCAGGGAAGAAAGGTTAAATTTAATAACACCTTGGCACAACATCAGAAACCTTAAAAGCTCTTTAAAACTAGGGAATAGAAAGGCATAAAAATTATACCATTGCAGTCTGAAGCAAATAAAAGGGGGAAATTATAGCTAATACAAATAAAGAACCAATTACCTTTTCGCTCCCAGCCAAATCAACCAAATAAAGCTTCCCACTGAGTTTTTTTTCAGTCTCTACATTCTCTTGTTTAATATTAATCAGGAAGATACTGTGACTTCTAGAGCTGTGTTCATTCATGTCTGAAAAGGAAAATAGTTTACTGCTCTACAAAGAACATGGAGATTTAGCTGGAAAACCTCCTGTCTAAAAAGGACATAAAATCATGCTTAATAGTTTTATTTCTTTGAAGTATGTCCAGCCAATTTAAAAAATTATACGAGACCATTATTTCTTATTAAAAACAATGTTCATTCTAGAAATAAAAGATTTTAAATGTCTTCAAGTAGTAAAGGATATAATCTAAAAATCTTAGTCAACAGTTTTAAGATAACAGATTCTGTAACTCTGAGTGAACCCCCCCCCCTTCCAATCCTCAAAACCCTACTCCAGTCTCTTTCCTTGAAGAACTCACAGCTTCCTTCCCGGGTTCCCTTTAAATTCCTCAGATTTTAGCATCATGCTGTGTATCTGATGTATTCAATATTAGCCGTGTGTGTAAGTCCTGCCTTATCAGTAACATCATAAGCTTTCTTAAGGAAAGACTAAGACTTTCTTAAGGAAGGATTAAGACATACATTTCTTCTATAACCCATGCTAACTTCAGAGGACTCGAAGATTATCTAAGCTTTATTAGGATGGGGTACTGGAAATAAAAATCCTTTCAAGCCCTGGTCTTTGTCCACCAGGCAGACAGAGACCCCAGTGACTGTCTTATTCAGCCCTTAGCAGCAATTATTCTCAATACATCTTACCAGATTATATATAAAAATATCTCAAGATTCCATTTTTTAAAAAACTGTTAAAACTAATAAATGAATTCAGCAAAGCTTCAGGATAGAACGTGAACATGTAAAAATCAGTTACATTTCTATATAACAACAAAACATCCAAGAAAGAAATTCAAAAAATAATTTAATTTATAATCACAGCATAAAGAATAAAATACTTAGGATATAAACTTAGCCTTGGAACAGAAAGTCTTGTTAACTGAAAACTACAAGGCTAAATGATACTAGACACAGATTAGAAGATTTACTATGTTAACCTATCACTACCACTCAAAGCTACCTACAGATTCAGTGCAATCTCTATCACAATTTCAATGATGTTTTCAAAAATATTAAAATCCAGCTGGGCACAGTGGCTCATGCCTATAATCCCACCACTCTGGGAGGCCGAGGTGGGTAGATTGCCTGTGCTCAGGCGTTTGAGACCAGCCTGAGCAACAGTGAGACCTTGACTCTAAAACTAGCCGGCATTGTGGTGGGCACCTATAGTCCCGGCTACTCAGGAGGCTGAGGCAAAAGGATCACTTGAACCTAAAAGTTTGAGTGAGCTATGAAGCCATGGCATTCTACCAAGGGTGACAAAGTGAGTCTCTGTCTCAAAAAAAAAAAAAAAATTAAAATCCATTCTAAAGCTTATATGGAATCTCAAAGAATCCCAAGTAACCAAAACAATCTTGAAAATAGGAACAAAGTTGAAGGTTTCACATTTAATGATTTCAAAAGTTACTATAAAGCCACAGTAATCAAAATAGTGTAGAATTGGCATAAGAAAGACATTTAAACCAATAGAATAAGGGCCCAGAAAGGAACCCTAACATATATGGTCAAATAATTTTCGACAAGAGTGTCAAGACCATTCAATGGGGGAAAGAACAGTCTTTTCAACGGTGTTGGAGAAACTAAATATCTACATGCAAAAAATAATGAAGTTGGACTTTTACCTTAGACGATATGCAAAAATTAACTCAAAAAGAATCAGAGACCGAAACTTAAAATCTAAAACTATAAAACTCTTAGAAGAAACATCAAAGAAAGCTTCATGACATTGGATTTGGCAGTGGGTTTTCTGAATGTGAAAATAAAAGCCCAAGCAACAAAATGAAAAATAGATACTTCACCAAAATTAAAAACCTTTGTGCATCAAAAGATATTACGAACATGACAAAAAGGCAGCCTATGGAATGGGAGAAAATATTTGCAAATTATATTATCTGCTAAAGGATTGATATCCAGACTATATACAGAACGCCTACAAATTAGCAACAAAAAACTCAAAAACCCGATTTAAAAAATGAGTAAAAAACCTAAATAGCTATTTCTCAATGGTCTATAAACACATGAAAAGATGCTCAACATCACAAATCATTAGGAAAATGCAAATTAAAACTATAATGACAGCCCTTCACACCCATTAGGATGGCTATTATCAAAAAATAAAATAACAAGTTGGTAAGGATGTGGAGAAACTCTTGTGCACTATTCTTAGGAATGTACATGGCATAGTTGCTATGGAAAACAGTACTGCGGTTCCTCACAAAATTGAAAGTGCAATCATCACCGAAGGATCCAGCAATTCTGCCTCTGCGTATATACCCAAAAGAATTAAGATTCTTTAAAATTCAGGAACTCAAACGGACATTTGTACACTCATGTTCATAGTAGCCACAAGTGGAAGCAACCCAAGTGCCTTTTGATAGATAAGTGAATAAACAAAAGCCTCTGTGTGTGTGTGTGTGTGTGTGTGCCCATAAAAGAATATTATTTACCCTTAGGAAGGAAGGACACACACTGCAATGAGGATGAAACTTGAGGAAATTGCGCTAAGTGAAATAAGCAAGTCCCAGAAGGGCAAAGTATGATTCCACTTACGTAGGGACCTAGCGTAGTCAAACTCATACAAACAGACAGTACAATGGTGGCTGGAGAAGGAGGGAGAGTTAGTGCTTAACAGGTACAAAGCTTCAGAAGACGGTGAAGTTCTGGACACAGACGGTGGTGATGTTGCACACAATGTGATGTACTTAATGTCACAGAACTGGACATTTAAAAATGGCTTAAAAGGTAAACTTTGTGTATATTTTAAGAGAATGACAACAAAAATCTTACCAGAATGTTAAGAATAATAACAATGTTCTGAAGCAGCAGTTCTAAGCCATGGGACCAAAATGGGTTGCCAGATATACCATAAATAATTTTAGACTAAAAATAGCTTTAAAAACCGAATGAATGGCTC